TGATCCCCCTTCTTCTTTGGGTTGAGTAGGCGTAGTGGGGAACTCGTGGTGGTAGGGGCAGCAAGTTAGTGCCGTCTTGGCAGCCGGCGAGGGGTAAGCTGTAGTGTACGAAGTGGTGGGAGAAAGTCCGTGTGACGTCACAGCTTGTGTCCGTCAGCTCAAAGGTAGTGGTGTTATTGGTGCACGTTCGTGTGCTCGATGCGAGCATAACCCGCGGTGTAGAGGTAAAGGTAAGAACTAGCGTCGGCGTTACTTACATGCGGGCGTAAACCGCGGTGTAGAGGTAATGATAAGACTGAGCGTCGGCATTACTTGCCCGTGATGGCGGGAACTGCGTGAGGTGGTAGCAGGAACCGCGAGATGAGCAGAGTGGCGATCCTGTCGTGATGGGTGCTTGATACTAGAAGAAGTGGTAAGAAACGAGCGTCTGCGTTGATTACGGAGACGTGGGTGCCAGTATAGTTGTGGCATCGCTATTAGTTACTTAGGTTGCTTGATGCTTTCCATGGCCTTCCAATGGCGATAGCAAGGTTGGATAGCGAGCCCGCTGTGAAGAGTGCATGATTGGTACTAGCAGGGCAATCGCGACACGTGCAGCTCCCTTCACATTCTCGTACGAACTGGATGCGCCGATAGCGCATCGGTGGCTGTTACTATGTCGCTATTTGTCGTGACGTCAATAGGGCATAGCTTTGTAGGGTTCATTTGTTATTACTTCTCGGAATTATAGTCGTATATTCGAGTTTTTCAACTAGAAGCATGCTTTGAGTCCGTTGGCCAATGTTTACAAAACAATGCTTCGCGCGCTCATACTTCTCCCACTTTGTATTCCGCTTAAAACTGTTGTAATCCGTAACAAGTACCATAAATATCTTTGATGACAGCTGCATATAGAAAAACCCAAAACAGGTGAAAATGTTAAAATTGCCGAGATAAATATGATGCAATCCATAGATAAATCAATGTTTTTCATAAACAAATTATCTCTTTTTATTTTTCCGAATTCCCATACTTTCTTGAAAGTATATACATTAAAAATGTAATTAAATAGTTACCTGCGTGTAAGTGACAAATATATAGATACGCATCTAATAAATAGCGTGTATATTTTTACAAGGTAATGAGGTCGGAATACAAAAATAGATAGACATTACAGGTATTATCAACGGAACTTGCATTATAGGGTTGAAGTCAGTCGTTCCTCAAGTTACGAAACTAGATTTAAATTCTACAATACCGATGCAGTATGCAATATAGAAGAAATACTTAACTGTCTACTTTTACAAGAAAAACAATTTGTTAGACGTAAGGACTATCATTTTATGAAAAGTCTTGCCGATATGATAGCCAATAACGATATACAAATTGGAAATGGCACGACTCACTTCTAATTTCTGAACAATTTCCCAATATATTTCTGTGTGAAATATGAAATTAAAACAGTAATACATAGTCAATAATTGTTATCATAAATTAGATTAAACGGATATACTCTATAAAGTAAAAAATTAGATAGAATATTTCAAGTTTGAATTTATCATGAAAATATTATCAAATTCTCGTCTTGAAAAATATTAAGATAACTATAGTTAAAATATTTCACAGCTAAAAGAAATTCTGATTTAACTATTTAGACTTATTAATAAATCAACCAAATTCTCTCATGTGGTTCAAAAGAATGTCAAGTCGATACGATAATCAAAATGTATATTGACGATGAATGAATCAAACCAAAGTTAGTTCAAATTTACTAAGTAATGCTTACTTGCCTACAAAATAAAGTTTCTTGAAATTGCTTACAAATGCAAGTAATTTATTTGAGATAATTACATCTGATTGTTTATTACAGCCTATAAACACTATACTAAAAAAGTAACATGAATATTCATCGAAATTTTATATGCTCGTGATGCTAGAAATTAGCATTAATAAAGAGAGATTTATAACTAGTTATTATTGTGAATTACAAAGTTGTTGTATAAATGTATGTATTATGAATATTTAATACGCACAAAAATATTTGATGTAGATGCTTTGAATTATCATACAATAGATGATAATAATAATACTTTAGATGAAATTCTTGTAAAACGAGTAAAAATAAGCAATTATTATTTGAAAATGAGTTATTAAAATACTTATTAAATAATATGAAAGTATTATTCAAATTATGTTTCTTTATACTGATTAAATAAATGCAAAATAAATAATAATAATAAATAATACATATTGTAATGAAATATAATGAAAGATAAAACTCTAATTTATGAAAGAATATTACATAATATATAAAGCTATAAATATAAAATAATATAAATTGGATCAGAATTCATTTAAAATAAATTCTCAAAGCAAGAGATATCTAATTAAAAAAGTGAATAACAAATGTTATGCTAAAGAAAAAATGTAGCTGTAATGAATTTAAATTAAAATAGTTATATTGAAAAGTAAGGATAGAAAACAAACAAAATTACTACTAATTTCAACATAAAAACATAGTATTAGTAAAGTAGGTTATTTTTAACTGTAAAAGTTGCTATTTCAAAGATTAAAATTAATTATAAAATTACGAACTACATAAAAAATGTATCTGTTGACATTACCAATGCAGTATGTGTAGATTATTTATAATAGGATTAAGAATAGAAAGAAATTATAAATATTCTCCTTAGTACTTTTATATGGCTAATGTCATGAAATTATTAACATCTAAGGATAAAAATGCACTTGAAAGTGTGGACATCTTTCTATTTTTCATTGATTAGATGGCTAAAAATTGGAGCATAGTCATAGATATGCAACATAGAAGAATTGAATTATTCCTAAAAGATACACTATCTAATTTATTATGAAATAATTTTTTCTTCTTTTCTTAATATACAATAGACATATTTAATGAAACAATAATATTAAAATTCGTATATGTATAAAATATGTAAGAATAATATGTAAATAACATTAGCTAACTTTCTTCAAATTTCAAAGTTTATACCTTCTTTTTCGAGTAATTTATTGTAAGAATCCAAAAACAGATCAATGTAAATAAACTATTGAAAATACAAATGAAAAATTCAAGGATATCTTTTATAAATAAGAGAATGAATTTTCCTGGGGGTGCTGAGATCGCTGTATCCACTAATGTATGCCGATGTATACATAATCAAAAAACAATAGTTTAAAGTCTTTGATAATTATTTTCTGAATCTCTAACTATTCTTCCTAAACTCTTTATATTCATTATAAGAAATTTACAAATATAAAATTTACTTATAAGTTAGTGTGAAAATTTATAGTATAATACATATAAACTTTTTCATTTACATTTTCATCTTTATAAACTTTATACACAAGAGATTAAACTTCAACTAATAAAGTAATTATTAAATAGTCTATGTAATTCTCATCTCCGACCATCGAAGACAATTATATATATTATATTTGATTAAATATTTTAATAATTATTTTTACAAAATTATTATATTATATATAATATATATATTATGTACTATTTAACAGGATCATATAAGAGTATACAAGATAAAATATTTTATCTTAATATTATCTGAATTATATAGTACAATAGATATATAAAATATATTCACACGACATAAATCAAATTTATTATGTTTTGGTTCTATTTTACGCAAATTATCAATTTCTATAATAATATTCTAATGTGGTTTTATATTTATAGTGTTATTTAATAATCTATCAAAAATCAAATTAAACACAGATTACAGATTTCTAATTTTGCAGATCATTTTACTTAATAATTTGACAATGTTTTACATAGATATAATTAGTCATAAATATTCTATTCAAATAAAATTATTCTCAAATTATATTTAAATTATTATTTTTCTATGAGAAATCTTTCATAATTTTCCAAAGATACATTTTAATAATCTTAAAATCTTGTAATGGTAATTTGAATTTTCACACAGAGAAAATTAATTAAAAAATATTTTTACATTACATTTTAAATTATAGTTTTTAAAAAATTCATAAAATTTTTAATTATGTAGAGTAACAGTTCTTTTAAAAAGAAAACTACGTTTAGTTTTTAAAAGTGTAAATATATTTATATGTCGATTTATGTGTTAAGACGTATATTCTTTTGTTAGAATAAAATGACAACTCGTTAAATGCGTAATAACGATCTATGGGTATTAACATTTTTTAATGTTAAATAATGATATTTAATGAGAAAGAAAAAAGAAATCAGATGAAGATTTTTAATGATATTTAAAATATGAGAATTTAGAGTTAAATCACCACTTTTTAATAAAAATGTATGGAATGTAGGAAAAGAAGAAAAATTCAGTATTACTTAACTCTTTTGGATATTTCAGAAGATTGATAATCAATTTTTCGAATAATAATCTAAAAGAATAATATAAAAGAAGTTCTTAATAATCAAAACGATATTTATAATTATAAGTGAAAGGCACGTTATTACAAACTAAGAAAAAATAAATTAATTAAATACTACTCCTTTATATTATTTTGGTTATAACTTATCTTTAATAATATTTATTTTTAAATTTGCTTTTAATAATAATTACATTTTATTTTAATTATATAATATAAACTATAATGTACATAAATTTACACCAAATGAGATTCACATAATTATAAGAAATTATAATAATTCAATTAGAAAATGAAATTTACTCAAGTTCGTTTCTATTTTTTTTAAATTTTATAATTCATTTAATTATTGTAATTCAATAATTCATAATTTACTCTGGCTACTTTATAAAATGAAAAAGTGCATATATATTCCAAAAGATAATGATATTTAAAAAATAAGAGAAATTAATTTTCAACAAAATAATATTTTAATTTATTATATTTATAATAAATACTATGCTCAAGATTTCCAGACAAATAAATATGCCATAATATCATACATTTTCATTCATTATGTTAATTTATGATAAATTTTTATTATGTAAAGTTCCTTTATTCCTTTAATTAAGACAATTGATTATTTTCAGGTTAATGGAAATGGAGTATTATCCTTTATAAGACCAATGAATAGATTCTTTAATATTCCATTTCCTCTTGATGATCCAGTAATAGCTCCTTTATACACACATGTCGATATCCGTGCATCAGGAGAAATACATTATGTAGAAACTAATTTACCTGAAATACTCTCTCGTGCTGGTGATCTTATAAGAAATGCTTTCAAAAATGCTCTTAGTTTTACACCAACTCATGTTTTTATAGTAACATGGCTAAATGTAGGGTATTTTCACGAAAAAAAAGATAAGGTTCAATTACAATACAGACACTTTATAAATTAAATTCTACTATTATAATAAATTTATTAATTATTTATAAACGTTTATAGATTAATACTTATCAGGTTGCTATTTCCTCAAATGGTACACACTCATATGTAGAGTTATTATATCCTGAAAATGGAATTCAATGGATTCAAGGAGAATCTCATCCAAATGGACTTCCAGATGCCAAAGCTCAAGTCGGTATCATTGGTGAAGACAAGATGTATGTACTTACTGGTTCTGGTACTGATCAAATTCAAAATATTGACAAGTATGTTATTTTTATTTACAATTAATTAATTGAATAAAAAAACCATTAAATGAAAATTATTGAAACGTAATACAATAATTAAGATAAATTACTAATAAAATTTGAATATAGTGTACTGAAAAAATTATTAATAATACACACGTAACATTTATCTGAAAAATTATAATTGTAGGTGGTCTAATATTCACCGTCCTGGTCAATGGATTTTTCAAATTGGTCCAGTTCAAGAAAATCAGAATATTATATTACCCGATAATGTAAATGGTAAAAGTTATTTTTACAATTAATAAATAAGATAAACTACTTATATGAATCCTAGTACTCTTACACCTAGTTATTATACAAAAAAATTACAATTAATTTATTCATGCAGTTGAATGTAGTTTCTTAATTATATAACATGCTTATAATATAATCAATGTGTATATATAAATTTCCAGACAATTACAAAAATGATCAAATACAAAGTTGCATGAGTGGTGGAGCAACTCATTGTCATAGTAAAGCAATATGTATTGATTATGAATATGGTTTCTGTTGTACATGTAAACAAGGCTATTTTGGAAATGGAAAATCTTGTCAACCAAATGGTAGATTTATTCATATCAATAAAAAAAATTAAAATTAAATAATTGATATATATTTTAATATTTCTTATATTTTATCAATAATATAAATCTTTTGGAATTGAAATGTATTAATTAACAAACACTCTTTGTATTATATAAAGTAGACTTATATTATATATTTTTTTAGAATCAAATTTTGTAGTTCAGAGCAATTTAGGGAAGTCAAAATTTTTTTAAAAAGTAAAATTATAATTTAGCTATACATATATTTTTAGATATACCGTTACGTGTCATAGGTAAGGTTTTTGGTACAATAAATAGTCAAGATTTTATAAACAGAGATTTACAATGCTATGTACAGACAAAAGATGGAAGAACATATACAGCACTTGCTCGCATACCAGAAAACATTGGAAATCGTTTTCAGCTTTTGAATCCTATAAATGATATTATAGGTTGGCTCTTTGCTAAGACCAATGGAGAAATAAAGAATGGATATCAATTGACTGGTAAAGATTATTTGTTTATAAATTAAGATTAATTTATTGCATTTAAAAAATAGCAGTGAAGTAATTCAAGTTATTATAAATAGTATATATTTTTAGTATTTAGTAACAATATATAAATATATTTTTTTAAGAATTTTATTCGATATTCACTTGTTAAGAAACATAAGCTCATTATGAAATCAAATATATTATTTCATAAATTATAGAAAAACAAAAGCTTGTAGATATATCAACAATTATATTGTTTTTTTACATTTTCTATTTTTTTTATTTTATTATTTTTTTAACATTGATTAAAAAATATAAATACTTCTTTAATATTTCAGTATTTATTATTTAGTAATTATTCTAATATTTTATATTATTATAAAATATTAGAATAAAAAATATAAATTGAAATATAACCATTTTTAATTATATTTATACATTGGTGGTGTATAATAGGTGGTGTATTCAATCATACGGTTGTAGTCACTTTTAAGACAAGTGATAAAGTGATAATAAGTAATAGATATCTTGGGTTGGATGTATTTGGTCAGTTGAAAATGGAGTCTGAAATCAAAGGTACTTTACCATTTGTTGAAGAAGGTGATCGCATTGATTATGGTGATTATGAAGCACTTCTAACACGTACCCAACCAGGTATAATTAGATCCTACACACAACGAAGCTATCGACTAGCTAGTTCGCCCAAATTTGAACGTTTATTTATTGAGGATCAGATAATATATTATAATGAATGCAGTTTTGCAACAGAAAATACAAAAAGCAACATCAGTAAACTTAAATTTTCAAGAGGTATCACAACATATGAAAGTCATGAAGGAATCATTCGATTTGCTACAAATGCGAAAATTATGCTACATGAAGAGGAAGATCCATGTATACAAGGCAAAGTTACTTGTAGTGATAATAGTTCCTGCATTGCTGATGGTGACAGCTTTAAATGTATTTGTAATCCTGGGTTAGAAAATATTTATTCTATATATATTTGAATTGCTAATTATATTTTATATATTATTTATATAATATCAAATTTTATCTATTAATTTTAAAATAATTTCTAAGATATTTTTTAAAAGTTATAGATTTATATTCAAGTTTATTTAAATTATATAAATTATATATCACTATTCAAAAACCTTTATTTACTAAATAGTTTATATATTAATAACTTTTATTTAAACAACAAAATAAATTATTTTTAATAAGTTTTAGGATTAAAAAGCTTTATTTTTATATTATTTCAGGGAAAGCCTTCAATTAAAAATTGTTAAAGCTACACTATTGTTCAAGTAATAAAACAATTCAAAGTTTTTGCAATACAAACCTTCAATACATAAAAAAATGTAAACCAATTATGTAATTTTAGTTTAAAAAGAAAATTGTAATTTTTTCTTTTAACTAATGTTTTAATATTGTTTAAAATTTATTTTATTGACTTAAATATAAAATGAAAAGTTAATAAGATAAAATATATAAATAATATTTCTTTCTTTTTTTATTATTTAATAAGGTTAATTATATTTTTAATACTCAATTTAAATTTTCTTAAAAAATATTATATAATATAATACTATTGTTTGAATTTCTTTTATTAAATTTTGTATTTAAAATAGTTCAATATTCAATGAAATATAATATAGGATTAATATAATTATATTTATCGCTATTCAGTCTTAATTATGTAAATTAATAAAGTAAAAGGTTAAATTTTTAATTCTTTCTAATATCTAATAGTTTTGAATAAAATTTTACACTCATATGACATATCTGATCAAACACGCAAATTTCAATTTGAAAAATAAAGAATCAATAAAAATGTACTATTTAATGTCATGTTACAATGAATACGTACGCATGTGCATTAAGTTGGCGATATATCTGTTTCAAATATTTTTATATATAAAATAATTGGTATTGTTTTTCTGGACAACTTGATAATTTTTATAAACATAATTATAACAATATTAATATTATAAATGTTAATTGTAAAACATATTAAAATTTTATAAATTATATTTCTAATAACGAATCGATTATTTTTTAAGATTCATTAACAGATCATTTCATTATTGAATTTTCAATTTTCAGCTTTATATTGAAGTATTTAATTATGTAAATATATTCATAACTTTTAAAAAAATAATCCAGTTCTAAAACTTGAAATTGTTCCAGCAAATTTATGAATACTATAATATATTAATATCATTTTCTATGATTTATTGATTCATATCAATAAATAGTGGAATACATTCAATATAAATTATCTAATTTTTAAATATTATAAACAGGTATTCACAGCTCCATGACGAAGATAGAGCTTTTAGTTGCTCAGATATTAATGAATGTGATGTTGGTGATAATGGATGTTCGCCAAATGCTTATTGTCTGAATAGTGAAGGTAGTTATAATTGCCATTGTAGGCAAGGATTTATTGGCGATGGACGTATTTGTGAAAGTAAGATTCATTGTTTACAATAATATATTATTAAAAACATAGAATAAATTCAAAGCGTAGCCGGTATCTGTAATAAATATAGTTATATGCTATCAATTTTTTTTAACTAAATTTATTTGTAATTATAAAATAAAAATTTACGAAAAACCGGTATGCTAATTTAAAAAATATAATTTAGTTTAATTAAAATTTAATTATTATTAAATATTTATTCTGTTAGAATTGGCGTCTTGCGATAATTCTAGCTGTGCTGATTATGAACATTGTACCTTAATGAATGGTACACCAATTTGTACTTGCATTCCAGGATTCAAAAATCATGGAAATGGATGTTTCTTTTTTGATCAATGTATGTTTCCATTAATTTAGAAAAAAATAATTTTTGAATAAATAAAACTATGTTTTAATATTACAGCTTCATGTGATAAGGATAATAATTGTTCACATTTAGCAACTTGCGATTATAATGAAATGCATCAAACATATATTTGCACTTGTATAGCAGGATATCTTGGTATGTTACTTATTTTAAAAACATTTAAACATTTAAAATAATTAATTATTGTGGTTATTATTATAATATTAAAAAGAAATATTAAAATAATTACAAAATTAAATTTAATAATAAAAATATAAATTTAATATAGTTAATTTTATTAGTAATAGTTTAGATATAAATATAATTCATAAGTATTTATAAATTAATCTTTATTATTTAAATGTAATAATTTAATATGCCAAGTGCTAAACCACTGTTATAATGCATTGTTTATGAATATTCCTTTAAAATTTACATTTTTAGAAGTACAAAAGTTTAAGTGTAATTTACAAGATTATCTATTTATTATTTAATAAATTTAACTAATTGAATTATCAAAAATTAACAAAAATGAATATACCATCTACATAAATATTTACAAATATAATTAATTAAATGATATAAATAATTAATTAATAAACATTTATAGGTGATGGATATCATTGCCACCTTGCTGGTTTAGTAAACAATGAAAATCCAATTCCACAATGTCATATTGAAATGTGTTGGTGTCCATCAGGATGGGCATTCAAAAATAATATGTGTTTAAAAGAAAATGATGATACATTACATCATGGATCAGGTGAAATTATGCATGATCGTAAGTACAATTGTTATTCATATAAAAATAATTATATCTATTGAAGTGTAAAAGTAAAATCATCAGCAAATGGGTCTTTCAGCAGAAACTAGGAATTTAATATTAAATATTAAAAAGGTATTTTATATGCATGCAATGTTATATAAAATAAAAATAATAGTTTTATTGAAATGTATAAATTTAATATAATTTATTAGATAAATTTGTCGCATGTTTGCATGTCATACAGCATGACTAAGTAATTCAATAATTTATGCGATAATTTATATTATATTTGTAAGGTAAAGAATTATTCTGTACATAATAACATAATTATAGTTCTGTTTTATTGTTAATACTATAAAATATAATATAAAATATTATTAATAATATAAAATAATCTTTCAAATTTATTAAATTGACTAGTATAATCAAGAAATTCAAGTTTATTACTTAGCTATTATAAAAAATTTTAACATTGAATGCTGCAACATGAATTCTAGTATTGGCGCGACCACTACCAGAATGCTTGGAGGACACCTGTATATGTCCATGGGGATACAATTATGATCGACCCAAAGCTCTTTGTGTACTACATCCAGGGCTAATCCAGGAGACGATGGGTTCTTCTGGGTTCAATTGTATGAGCTTATAATTTCCTGCTTGGCTTATAAATGGTTTTTCATGCTTTAATTTTTAAGCTATCATATTTGCTTATTTCTAATAGTTTTACAATTTTTTCTTTTACCAGCTCATGTCTTTTTAAATAAAAATGCTGTCAATTTAAATCAAACATTTAGCTTATATAATAAAATTTTATTAAGTTAGATTTACAATAAATGTGTGTTTTATAAAAATAGTTAAAATAAAAATATAGATGAATATGATAGTATATTCATTATTAATTTTTAAATGCAAGTTTAAAATTTTCAACATAATATAAAATATATTACAATAGTAAAAAGGAATATTAAAAAGGAAATTTTCACTCTTTTTATTTATAATGTAAATTTTTTCAAACCGACATTAAGTTGAATAAAAATTCATAATGATTTATCATTAGTTTTTATTACATATATAAAAAATGTATAATATATATTATTTTCTTAATAGATTAAAATGTAAATAATAATAGTTTTTATTTGCCATCTGTAAGTAATTTCTGAATAACATTAACCACTTTGATTATGAAATTCTTCTGAGAATAAAGCTTCTCAATGCTAAATAACTATTTATACTGGCTTGTGTTTAGCGTCGTGCAATGTGCTAAACAGATGCCACCCTTATGCTCAGTGTATCCACGATTCAAACAACGAGCAGTACTTGTGTCAATGTATTCGGGGTTATGAAGGTGATGGAATGGAATGTTCAAAAATTGGTCGGTATAATTTTCTATGAAACGTTTCATTAACGAAGCATTCATTCCAATAAAAATTTTGTAAGTAGAAAAGCATACTTTTATTTTTATGATAAATTACTATTAAACAGAAATTTCCTGTTTGGATGTCGATATATGTGATCCAAATGCATCATGTCGTCAAGATGAACCAATTGGCAAATGTATTTGCAATGCTGGGTATAAAGGAGATGGAATGTCCTGTACACCATATGGTGCTTTTGTTTTTATATTATTATTATTATTATATGGAATGAAGAATATGATTATTATTAAATGTCGGATATACAGATAATAAATAATCAAAAAAGATGCGAGATAAAAATATATACATTTGAACATGGATTGACCTGTTATCAGTAAGGCTGCTATTGGCAAATCCTGCTTATACATTATGAAAAAGTGCAAATGACTCTTATGTACTAACAAAACCTTTTTCTCATCATGGAAAATACTTGAAATATGCTATATAGAGGTGTATTTATTTAGAGATTGCACCCACACTACTTCCTCATATTAGTAACTTATATTATCCCAACTTATGCGTATATCTAAATTGATATGTAATCAAATTAAAGGCAGTACAATAAATAATAAATATATGATAAAGTAATTACATTAAAGGTGTTAACAATAAAATTACAATAAAATAATTAATTTTGATCAACTAGATTTTAATTATATTTAATACTTTTTCTATTTTAAAAACATCAATAGATATGGTTGACATATTTAAATTCTATATAAAAGAATATTTGCATTTGATACACTATATATTTTGTATTAAATTTAAAAAATTTATAAAAAAAATTTTTGAAGAAACAAAATATTAATATATATTGTTCCAATTCTAGAAATTAATATGTTTAATTATAATTATTTATCTTTGATAAAAACTGAATACAAAACTATTGCATACACAAATTTTTTTAAATTAAATTGTGACTTTAAATATGAAAAAATTAATTAATTACTTACAGACGAATGCCGTGAACATAAAGAGTGCGACGAAAATGAACATTGCTCTTATGTCCCAGTCAATTCACGCTACGAGTGTACCTGTCAACCGGGTTACAATTTACTTGATGGTCAATGTTTTACTACAGATTGTTCAACAAACCCAACACAATGTCACGTAAATGCTCAATGTATATCGGCCAACAATGGACTTGATGAATATCGATGCGTCTGTATTTTTGGTTATCACGGTGACGGTATACATCAATGTGTTGAAGAACACATTGCATGTAATGATATTAATAATTGTGGTAAAAATGCTGTTTGTGGATACAACCAAACATCAAATAATTATGCTTGCTTTTGCCTGCCTGTAAGTATAAATTTTAATTTTTGCTTGTAATTAATATAATTGATGTGTTTATGTATACCTATATGCGCATTTTGTTTTCAATATAATGATTACAATTAAATTATATAAATGAAATTGTAAAAGACAGTTTTTTTAAACATAAATTATAAAAATTACATGAAAACCCTTAAATTATAATATTACATATTATATGGTTTCTTTGTGGCATTATTACATTTTGTAAAAATGTATATTTTTTAGAATAAACTTATAAACTAATTGTATAACTCTTATAAAAGTAAGAAAATGTACTTAGTGAATGAATAAAGTAACTCTAAATTCTATTCTACACATTATTTATCACTAAATTCGTGATATATAATTATATATTTATTATAAAATTGTCTCAATAAATTATATGTATATATTATTTTGCAGATTTTTTTTATGTATATTTTTATAAGCATTTAGTAATTTAATAGTGTAGAACTAGATAAGAAATTAGAAAATAACAAATATATTCTATAATATGAATATATAACTGTCATAAAATTTCATATAAGACGAAAATTTGCATATAAATCAGTTAAAAAATAAAAATAAATCTAAACAATTTTTTGTCATATTTGAATTTGGTAATGAAAGCTAAAATAAAAAAAACAAAATAGCTTTGTAGATAAGTCAATAAATACCATTTATGCATCAAATCTACACTTAGAAAAATATAATATGAATCAATATTGAAAACTCAGCGAATTAATTTTTAAATACAGATGATCATGCTTTGAATTGTAATAAAAACTGAACATTTAAAATCAAACTTATTTAAAGACTGTTAACTGATTATTGGAAAATATTAACTTTAAGTCACAAAATGTGGCACCACTATAATGTAATCATGATCAATCTATCTCATATAAGCATTTCATAAATTTTATAGCCATGCATTCATATAGAGCACATGACTTGTAGAAGTTTAAACTTTTTTCCAAGTCGATTTTTATTTTATACATTAAAGAAGGAGTGCATCAAACAAGTCTTATAAAGCCATGTTATATAAATCTTTTTTATGATTTATGATATTATGATACATTATGATACTTTAAAATAACAAATTCATATACATTAAACTTATGTACATAATTAAATAAAATAAAATTGAGAAATAATCGAAACAATCTCACTTTTAAAAGTATTATTTCATCTGAATTCACTAACTTTCTAACTTATCTTTGCATCGCTTATCTACAAAATATATCTGAATTCAAAATAACTATTTAAAGTATTATTTAAATACAAATGATAGTGTAATATGCATGTATTTTATTTTCTTTACTATTTTCACTATCTCTTCAAAAGCTTTGACATCCTGTTGGTGCTCTATCTTTTCTTTCTTTATTTCTTTTATCTCTTCATTATATCATGACATCTATACTATTTTTTCATATCCAAGCACTTGAAACTATACATATGGCTTGTGAATAAATATAAACTGAATTTATTACCACTTTCTCATTCTCTTAATAATTACAGTCATTAAAATAATTAAAATATTGATGTAACCCTGCTTGTATTCTATTTTCTACATTTGTTATAACAATACATCCATTTCATTTTTCTATTAAATACAATCTGACATGAACATCTTAAATAAATAAATTAATTATTAGCAAATGTATAATTTTAATTTATGCATTTATACAGACTTATTAATCTAATTTGATAATTACAATTAGAAAATAAATACAAACTAAGAAATATATATTTATTAATGCAATATCAATTTTATTTAGGGATATTATGGCAATGGCTTCAATTGTATTCAGCAAACATCATGCAGACAAAATCCAAATCTCTGTTCTCAAAATGCGTCATGTATTCATCTAGGAAAAAATGAATTCACATGCATATGTAATGAAGGTTACATTGGGGATGGCAATAATTGCCAATCTCGTTTCAAATTTGAAGCAAATTTTCTACTAGTTAATCAGGGCATGGCTACACATAAAATACCATTTTTTTCTACATCAGATAATCCAGGAAATCCAATATATCTAGCTTATTCTCAGATGACTATTGCTTTAGATATAGATTGTCCTAGGGGAAAAGCATATATTAGTGATATAACTGGTATCATATTAACGATATAAAAAATATATTCAATATCTTAATTTTTAATTATTTTTATTGTCATATTAATACAAAATTTTCTGCACTGCAATTTGATTATAATATTTTGAAAATTATATAGTTACTTTTTAATAATGAAAATTATTTTTTCATAAATATTGTACATTATTAGAGTTATTATGTGATTAAAAGTATATTTTTATTATTCTATATAAAATAATATTTAAAAATTCTACATACAGGTAATAAAATTACAAGCATAGCATATAATGGATCTCAATCAGAAGTTTTTATTGGTCAAGTTTCAAGTCCGGAAGGTATAGCTATAGACTGGATATCTAGAGCAATATTTTGGACTGATTCTGCAAATGAAACAATCGAGGTAGCACATTTAGATACAAAAAAAAGAAAAATTCTAATTAAAAATGATCTTGTAAATCCCAGAGGTATAGCCGTTCATCCGTACAGAGGGTATTAACAATTTAATACTTAAAATAGATAAATTTTTATTTTATTTTTTACATATATGTTTTCATAAAGATGTGCATGCATGGGTATACTTGAGTGCATATAATGAGTCTATAATTACATAAAGAAAATAGATATTTTTAATTTTAGAAAAATCTTTTGGTCTGATTGGAATCGTGCTGCTCCAAAATTAGAATGGGCTAATGAAGATGGAACAGGAAGGCAAATATTTTTACAAGGAGCAAATGTTAAACTACCCAATTCATTAGCAATTGATTGGTATTCTGATGAGCTTTGCTGGGCAGATGCTGGAATCTTATCAATAAGTAAGATGCAGTGTAAAAATTAATTAATTATTGTAGTTAAGTAATAATCATGGTTTTCAACATTGTTATCTTCTTAGATTGTGCAAATATTGACAATAAATCTGTACGAGTCATTATAACAAATTTGTTATATCCATTTGGCTTAGCAATTTCACAAAATCATTATTATTGGACAGATTGGAAAACGTAATTATTTCCAGTATTAAAACTTATAATAAAAAATACTTGTTTGAAAAACACTATTTTAATAAAATTAATAATTTGAATAAAAGCATTAATTTTTTTATTTTAGAAGTAAAATTGAAGTTGCTAAGAAGACAGGTGAAAATGAATCATCAATACCTCTTCCTGCTGGTGGCAGTGGTAAACCATATGGTATAGTAGTAGTTCCAGAAACATGTCCAAGAGGTAAGGTTAAAAAATTTGATCTTACAATTCATTTCTATTTTTATTTTATTACAAAGAAAATTAATATTATAAATGTTAAAAAAATATAACAATTCATATAAATTTTTGTACTTCATACAATAAATTCTTAATTATGATTTATTAATTATTTATCTTTTATCAATCTTTTATCAGTAAGTAGTATTTATGTGGTAGTTTTTATCAGAAAATAGTATGTGGATTGAAAGCATATAATACTATTATATAACATTCAATAAATATAGAAAAAATTAAAACCTTTTATTCTAGTATCAAATATTTGTGAGTATGAAAATGGAAGATGCACTCTAGAACAGCTATGTCTTCCAGATGGTCAAGGTGGAAGAACATGTGTTTGTGCGGATAATGTTGCTACTTCTTGTATGGATTCACATTACTCAAAATAGTTTTTTAAATCATAAAAGTTACATTTTTACTATAAAATAGTGCTAAACTAAGTGCTCATATTAATAAAAAAAAATCCGCATAATACTAATTGATGGATATCGTTTAAAACTTTTAAAACTTTATGTAAATATAAACATTTACAGTAAATTAACATATTAATTAAATTATCAATTATAAATTGTAATAAATGTATAATAGTTTCATACATTTTGTAACTAATTTGAACTAATAATTTTATATGTACAAATAATTATATGTATTTTGTAATGATTATATGTACAAAATTTTTTAATAATTACCTATTGTTACATATTCTTTCTAATAAATAATTGCACTAAATACATGTATATCTATTAAAATTAAGTATGTTACTAATAATAATTCATTATTGTGTTTGGATAAAGTTATAGTCTTATCCTTTTGGGCTTTTAAGGCTGTATGTCATTGTTGAATCTCAAATATAAAAACATTTATTTTCTTGTAATAATAGTTATAGCCCTTTTCTAATATTTCCATTTTGGTAGATATATCCTACAATTTCAAAATATGTCCTTGTGCAGTTTAAAATACTTTTTGTAACCAAAAAAGAATGTTTCTGGTTATATTATGCTTTTAAACCAGTAGCCAATATTTCTTTATAAATATAAACAAATTTTTTCAAAGATGCTATTATTGTTAATCTTAATCAACAGACACTTTCAAAACATGGATTAATTGTAATAGTTGATGTAGAAAACAATAAATTTAATACAATTTAATGATTTAACTAAGGTTCAAAAAACTTTGTTATCGCTAAAAAAAATGTAAGAATAAAATGGTGAGAATTTATAGAATCTTGCTTTAATTTTGTCATGATTATATTTTTTACTACTGCTTGAAAAATTATCAATAAATTGTAATAAAGTTTTTATTATTTTTATTTTATTAGATTCTGTTTAGAATTAGACTAAGACCACCGGTGTAATGATGGAAGAAAAAGTGCGGGCAAGTGGAAGCAGTAGTGCATTAATTCAATATTTAACATCTGTTTTTCGTGCTGTTTATTGCGTTTTACTTTTTAATTACACTATAATGATTCTAAGTTGGTGATAAGATCTTGGAGTTCCTTTTCGGTTGCGGCACAGCGTCAGCATGCACTACATTAAAGGAGAGGAGGTCGTAAATCTCCGGATCCGTTTGACGCAACGTGCTTGTTATAGATTACTATATTCAGAGGTAAAAGGTCGTAAATCTCTAGACATTTCTTCGTGCAGTACCACGTAATGATAACTTGTTGCTGATCTCCTCCAATCTGTTTATGTTGTGGAAGAATGAGGAGGACCTTCCGTAGCATTTCTACTTGGTGTGTGATAGCTTCACTTAGTATAAAAAGGGGCCTTACGTAGTGTCTCTGATCTTTGAAGTGTACTCGATACTAGACCTTGGGAAGTCTACCCAGAGGGCAGTGACTACGGCAGCTTGAGCTGCTATGCGGTGGCACACGGAGACTTGGCTTCGGACTCTGCTGAGGGAGCTTCCTTTTTTCTTCTTCCTTCTTCCTTGAGAACTTTAGCCTGAGTGCTTGAATCTTGTGGTCGCCTCTCTTAAAAAAAATATATATTCCACTGAACGTGGCGTCCACTTAGAAACGCCTACTGTGTTGGCGTCTCCGTTCTTGGAGCTTTCCAGTAGCGCCTCTAGCGACAGCGCCTTCAATCAGGGAGCTCTGTCTTCGTATGTCCTTTCCGTCACGAGGAGTTCCTGACTGAAGCGCCCTTCGAGCGTCTTTGAAGAGCCTCTAGCCGCAGCGCCTAGACTTGATAACAGTGAATGCGAGTATGTATCGTTAGATTTAAAATTTTGGGTGTATCGACTATTCCCAGATGCCTAATGAGCTGAGTTTTCCAGAACTCTAACGACTAGTTTTGCAGGTGTTTCAGGACATGTTTTCCAGATGTTTAATGAGCTTGGGTTTGCCAGATGTTTAACGACTTGAGAGAGGTTCTTGCAATTTCGAACAGATTTAGTATTTAAATTAGAAATTAATATAAATCTGAAATTTTTATAGAAATTTTATAATGTTGATTCTGATAGACAATATATTCAAATACTATTAAAAATAGTTAAAAACTATAAAAAATATAATTTCGTATTGTTCGAAACTGTTTAATTTCCTGACTCGAACTACTAATATTTCGATATCTTTATAATTTACTGCCTGCCGTAGCGGATGCTTGAAAAGGAGTTAAGTGGAAGGGCTGTAAAAATACAGTGTCAGCATCTTCGTTAAATATGGTTTATTGTGGTTATTTACAATTACATTATTGACGTATTGGTTTTATGCGATAGAAAGGTATATTCTATGTTCAATCACGAAGAAGCAGTTGTTTAGAACTGCTTCTGTGGTGAATAGTTTATCTACACAAGATGTTCCTTGATGTGGTGATGTTGTTTATCTTGTAAGAATCAGCAACTGATTATGAATACTCCTAATTAGTGAGTGTGTTTTGTGCTATTAATAATAGAATCATGCTAGTCTTGTAAGAACTAGCAATAATTTGAAAAAAAAGAAAGACTTGTTTTACTTACAGAGATACAGTAGCCTTAACTGATCCTGTGATGAGTAGTTCATCATCACGAATGCTCCTTGTTGATGGTGATGATATTGCTGATTTTGCAAGGATCAGATCATATATCTATTAATTTTACACATAAAACTTACTATAATTTGTACTAAATTGAACGTCAATTGGAATGTTATTTATCAATAAAATTTAACAATGGAACAGAATTTAAATAGTTCTCAATACAAGTATTCATTTTGTTAACCAACTAAATTAATCACAGTGTTCGGGATTGAACCACCCAACAAAAAATAAGAATTTATTGTTTGTTAAAATACGATTTCGATATATTACATTTAGATTAATAATCAAAAGAAGCTTCTCGAATTTATCAAAGCTTGCTTCCAGAGAATTCACTAAAGCCTCCAAGAATTTATAACACTAAATGTACGCAATCGTATTTAAGAAGCAACGAACGGAAAAGAAAACAGTCTTGTTGAATTACTCAAGTGAAACTAGTGCCAGTCATATCTGTGAAAGTCGAACTCGTCTGAAGGAATTCGTGCAAGGTATATTATTATTATTATTGCTGGCCAGCTATCGATATTACTCACACTTGTCGTGAACCCTCGCCTATTTCTCGTGACCATCTCCGGCCTAATTCTCGTTAGCAGGACGAGATCTTACCGATCATGCTGCCCGAAACGAACGCAGCACACATCTACCGTATCAACGAAGCCCTCTGACATGAGTCCATAGTAGACCGCAAGAGAGGGCGCCGATTCTAACAGTAGACCCTGCCTAAGATTAAAATGAGTACTGCGAGACATTACCGGTCACGCCACAACAAAGTGGTTCTGATCAAACCACAAAAGAGGGCGACAACTATTCGTAATAATCCCCACCATCGCCACGAACTGACTATCACTCAGTCAATTCTAACTTCGAGTCAAACGCTTTATCAGTCGCGAGCCGAATCTCGCTTAGTACGATTCCGTCGCCGCAAGCATCGAAGCTCCGCGAGCCGACTAATGCCCAATATAATTCAAGCATGACTCACACGATACATGACTGTCGAATAAGAAAGACTCGGTTGATTTATAAGCTAGAACCCGGAATTATTACTCTCGAGATACCTTACGAAGCTTGCACTCCCAGACGATGTTCCGACTTAATAACAGCTGCCTAGTCACTACAATCAACAATTCTCACCATAATTAAGAATACCCACACCACTGTAACAACTACTTAAATAAAAGTCACTAAAACCAATTGTATTTACTCTGAGTTGATCCATTAACTTCTCACTCATCCCCCCCCATCGCCATTAAATCAGTGGTACGGTCTAATCCACCCAACGTGATTTGCGATCATACTGGTGGCTGGAATTCCAAACACACAGTGTTACGGACTGCAGCAGTTTTTAAGCGGAATTAAAAGTGGGAGAGGTATGAGCGCGCGAGCATTTGTTTTGTAAAAAATGACTATCGGACTCAAAGAATGCTTATAACAGAAAAACTCGAATATACTACTATAATTCCAAAAGTAATAACAAATGAACTCTACGAATCTACGCCCTGTTGACGTCACGACAAATATCGGCATAGCAATGGCCACTGATGCACTATCGGCGCAGCTAGTTTATACGAGAATATTTAAGGAGCTGCACATGACGCTCTCGTCTTCTTACTAGTTCAATCAAGCAATCATCAAGATCAAATTATTGTTCTACAAGTCAACGCCATTTACACAGAGATCGCCTTCGATTCACACAAATCGCCGTCTTACAAGTCAAACACCACTTATATAGAGGTCACATCCAATACACAACGATCTATCTCCACACATGTAAGCTACGCTATTACACACGTCCTTACGTACCATCTATACAACTTAGATCGATTCCACACACGTAAGCTACGCTATTACACACGTTCTTACGAATCACTAACACATGGCTCCGTGAACTAAGTTAGCAGCAATACCAAAACCACGGCATCATTGCCATTCATCAGTGACGTCATACACCAACGCCATCACTCAGGCCTCTCCAACTCATCGGTAGCGGCAACGGCGGCCTCAATTCTCCTCAACAGTGACGTCATACACCAGCGTCCCACTCAAGCCTCTCCAGCTCATCGGTAGCGGCAACGGCGGCATCAATTCTCCTCAACAATGACGTCATACACCAACGCCCCACCCAGGCCTCTCCAGCTCATCGGTAACGGCAACGGCGGCATCAATTCTCCTCACCAGTTACATCACACACCAACGCCATCACTCAGGCCTCTCCAACTCATCGGTAGCGGCAACGGCGGCATCAATTCTCCTCACCAGTTACATCACACACCAACGCCACCACCCAGGCCTCTCCAGCGTATCGGTAGCGGCAATCGGTGGCGTCAATCACGCACTATACTCAAGAATACACTTATAAGATTATCATCACTCACATTACCTGAAGAAACTCTCACCCATTCATTTTATCATTCATTCAATCTCACCTTAATATACCACTGATTATTTATTATATCATTATATTCAATAAAGGGAAAATCAACTCATACAAAGGCAGTATTGAATTATTGCATTGTCCATTCCACTTGCCAGCAAGCCTCCCTTCACCATCTCAGGGAAGCGTTTTAGTCTGACCTCAGACACACAGGGATTACTCGAATTAAAGTGTTCTAAACAATTTAAAATTATTCTAAGTATTCAAAACTTCATACATCCACCATAAAGTTTTCTTATTCAGCCTAAAAATTTCAGCCTGAATTTTTCAGGGACTACCATGATGTGAATATAAAATTATATTCTTTGTTAGAAAATGAATGCAATTAGTAAGTAGTAGTTACTACTAATAAAAATTTGAATATTACATCATTCTTTCATAATTGCTTTTGATGCCGCATCCGCGCGATAGTGTTTGTCTAATATAAATGACAATTATTTGCTTTTATCGCAAAACTTTTTTAATATTGCAACAACTGCAATATAATCAAAGAATTAACCATCATACTACCCATGAACATTTCTTGTTCATTACGTAGATCTTATTGTTATATTAGATAAATAAAATTTTCGTAAATCATTAAATTATAGCAAATTTTAAAATTAATATATTATTTTTAACTATTTTATTATATGTTGGTGCATAATTTAATTTTATAGATTTAATGAATTTATCCTTATTCATTCCGTACTGCCAGTGATTAATACTAAATTTCATGTATATACAAGATACATTTTTGACGTATTCAATTTAGAATGTAATAAATGTCTTCATATTATAATCAAACAATTTATCACAATAGTATTTAATTCTAATTTTTGGTATATAATTTTATTTAAATATAATATAAGTTTATTATTTATATTTCATATAAATTTTAGTCTTCTAATATTATATTTAATAACTTTTAATATTACATTAATTTTTTATTTATTAACTTTGTATCTTGTAATTAGAGTTGATAAGGTCTATTATATTGTTTAGTACAAGAGCATCAATCACATTTATTCTTTTTAAAGCGACGTGCATGTGATTTAAATATATATACATGTTCGGATTTAAAGGGGTTATCTTTTGGCTCGAACTGCCAATTCAATAGTTCAGTGGATTAGTCTCTCGGCAGGATAATTTTTAAAGGAAATCAATAACGGACAAGGCTGAAAAATATAATATATTTATTTTAAAAACAAGATTTAATGAGTGTAAACAATTATAATAATATTGCACTGTTGTGTAGAAATAAATATTCTGTTGGATTATTCAAAAGATGTGTTCTTGTGATTTTTCTGCTATAAAGGCTTCTTTGGATATTGCTATGTTGCTTTGAGGTTATGTTGATATTATCAATGTCAGCTGATGTCAGTCAATCATGCTTGTGAGGCAGCATGAGAAGATGGTAGTTGAATCAA